TTCTGGCTCGGCCTGGCCTCGATTCAATTGCAGCCTCAATGTATTCAATTATTATTATAAGCCACGGCCTGTGCCACGCCCCCAGCAGCGCGTTGGCCAAAACGCCCCCGGAGGTTGATGGCCCGGCAATTGAAATTGATTTGCCGAAAATGTTCGGTGAAAATTGCCGGTTTTGCCAAAAGTAAGGAGGAGGGAGACCCCTCGAAACAATTTCCCAGCATTTACATAATTTTCCTTTGTTGCAACGCTCTGAAATGTAAACTCTGGCTGGCTGGCTGGATAGCTGGATAACTGGCATCTGCGGTTTGGTTTTCCTCCCCCACCTCGGGCCCCGTTACGCTTGTGATTTTTCCAATGAATATCGTTAGCATTTCATTAAGAGGCGGCTATATTGCGGTCGTCCCTCCGCCGCCCGGTCTCCTCCAAATCGTAAATATTTCGTGTAAATATTTATACATTTGTCGGACTTCTTGTTCGGGGGCATACGAAACGCATAAACATGTCGATAAAACGAGAGAAAAATCCCCCAGCAGGTTCTTTGCACTCCTGTCCCGCTGCCATCATCATCTGCTCCCCTTTGGGTTTGAATCTCTGGGATCTGGGATCTTGGATCTGGTACACTAAGAAAATAGTTGAGGCTTTTAAAACTAGCAATGTGTTGGTAAAATAGATAATACGAATTTTTAGAGACTACTTTGAATGTTGGTAATAGATTTCGTTCAAGATTTTTCAAATGTAATTAAATATCCCCTTCAAATTAATTACTCAACATCCAACTCTTTTATTTAAAGTGCATCTGGTATCTTGTAGATACTTTGCTCCTGATTTTGATGAACTCTTGGCATCCGCTGGATTCGTATCCACTTCACCTTTGTCTGAGCCATCCAGCTGCGGCTGCCGCTATTGATTGTCTTTTAATTAAACGACAGGCGAACAATAAAGAAGGCTCGTTCGGGGAACAGGTTTCATTAATTTCATTTCCCCGCTCCCGAGTTGTGTTCTCACTGTACTTCATATATACATACATTTATATCTACCTGTCCATTTGGAATCGTTTGCTTTATGGCTGTCAAATTTACTGCTTATCAGCGCCTTATCTCGATCTACGTCTGTCAACAGCCTCGACTTTATAGATATATCAAAAGAGAGTGAGTGTGGAACGATGCATTTTCCGGGCTTATCTTATTGGAGCAAACGAAAATGCAATCCACTATCCAGTAAATACTTGGAAAAACCTTTAATTGGATGCAGATAAAGTTACTTTTGAGTGGGCAAGCAGCAGCTGATAAACTTGGAATTTACTTAGTCGTTAGTTAAAAGTTTCCCGTGTTGCACTCTGATGGTTCCGGGGAACCTTAAAGAAGTGAGGCTATTAAAGTGTATTCTCAAGAAATATTTACACTTTATAAGTGAATTTAATTACTCTTAAATGGGGTTTTAATTGATCGTAACTTGGGATATATTATAAAGTAATTTATTCCTGGTTTGAAAGGTCTTTTAAATAATCAACAGATGCTTCCTAGTCTCTATCCAAATGAATTAACTTTTGTATACCCTTTCAACTACACTATCCACATTGATTTTAGAAACCATCCTTTTAGTTTTTCTGTGTATAATTTTATCCCCACTTATTTATTCTTCTGTTTGAGTTAGTTGATTGCTTATTGCGCCTGCCCAGCATCCAACCTCTGTTTAATTTGTTGAAAATTAAAGTCACGCCGCTGTTGATATAATTCGAAGCCATTATGTGACAGGGCAACTCAACGATCCCAGCTCTGTTTTCCCGCCTCCTTCGTTGGTATTTCTCCAAGAGATTTGCTGTGCGCTGCAGTCGTTTACCTTAATTCGCCTGTCCAAATTGCTATTTATATGCATCGCCCTCGCTTTTAATTTGCGGCGCAAATCACGAGCAGCCCCGCCAGCTCCAACTGTATATACATATATATATATTTATATATCTTCAGGTATAGGTTCACCTACTCCTCCGGCAATCGCCAAACAAAATCAACAGGTGGCGCGCATATTTCAACATGCGGCTGCCAGGCCAACCGACCGAAATATCAATAAAAATGCCATTTGTTGCGATTGTACACGGAAGTTGGCAACTGCAATGGAGGCCTGGGAGCAGGGAGCTGGGAGCTGGGAGCAGGGAGCAGGGAGCTGGGGACCCGACGAGACCTTCCTTACTTTGGCTGAGAACCACATAGATAATTTCCCCCAACAACCTGGGCTTTTGATGATATTTCTGTTCGTGTGTCTCGATTCCCTGTCTTTTTTTTGGCTCCGCGCTTAATTTATTGGCCACACTTTGCTGCTGCTGCTGCATTTAAACGACAAGTGTTGCAAATAAAAAGGAAAAATTAAAGCGCTGCAAATTATGGGGACGGGGGGACAGTACACAGAGAGAAGTTTTTATAGTAGAAGTCCCAAAAAGTATTTCTTTATGTTATTCAATAATTATTCCGTGCAGGGGTATTCAAATTTCAGCCAGATGCATAAAACGCAGTATCAGTATTAACAGGGGAATCTTTCTAATCACCTCAGGAAGAACGACATTTTTTAAATTTATTTCAAATTTTATAAGGGGTTACATCCTTTAAATTTCCAAAAAAATGAGTTTTCTACATTAAAATACATTAAATTAGTATACAAAATGGGTAGCCCTACAAAAACTAGCATAGAAAAGCTTTCCTAATTGAAATTGATGCATTTTTGGCTTAGTTATGATCTTTGAAAACATTGATTTACCTAGAAAATTAGCATTGTGGAAGTATATACAGATTTTACCCCCCGATCCAATAGCTAACTGCAATGGTTATGCTAACTAAAATACAAAATGAAATTAAATCAATTACTGAAAACCGCATATTCCTTTCGAATATTTCCTCTCCGAATTTTCCTTTCAGTGCAGGGAAACACGATGGAAAACCAAATCGAGCAAGCCGACCAGAGGCGACGTCAACACCAGAGGGCCGTGGCAAAAACTAGTTTGCAGCGAAAAAACTATTAAAAAAGCGCCCAGATTGCAGTGGCTGTTGCTGGCGTTGCAGCAAGTGACTTGGCTTAATAAAGGCGGCCAGGTTTAGGTTTAGGGTTAACATCGCAGCGCCAAGGGCCAAAAGTGCTGGCCAATGCAAACAAACAAACAAAAGCGTTCATGTTGCTCTTGGTGTTGCTGCCGCTGCTGCTGCTGCTGCTGCTGCTGCTCGAGCACACCAGCAACATGTGTAGTTTCAGCAAAAAGTCCAAAATGAAGACATGAACCAAAAGCCAAGAGCCGGAACACCAGCAACAACCAGCAATGTCGACCTTCTTTTGTGAGGCCCAGCTGCATAATTGCTATGGCAACAGCCAGGCTAACGAGAGGGGTTGCAAGTTGCCAGTTGCTAGTTGCAAGTCCCAACTCGCAAGTTGCAAGTTGTCCGTTGCCGCGGGCCAAGTGGAGACCTCTCTCAGCTGACAGTTGAGAAATTAGAACGGTTTTTGTCTTCCAAATCACATGCACGTGTTGCTCCAGTCCCTGCCAGTGGCTTCTGCATGTTGCAGGTGCTGCTGATGCTGCTCTGTGGTGCGTTAGATCTGCCTTCCACCTGAAATTCATTACAAGTTTCAATCAACTTTGTAATTTTGGGGTCTTTTGTATCCTTTAAAAGGGGAGAAGCCTGGAGAGGCCTTGAGACGATTTACAGGCATACTTCAAGTGGATGAAACTTGCATCATTCAGCTTATACTTCGCATCTCCAAAATTCGATTTATATTCTTCTGGTAGTGTATTATTTCATTCGTTGCCCCGCATTTGAATCAATTCCCAAAGCAAGCATCCTTCAGACCCGACTAAATGATTTTAATGTCTGTTTGTTTGCGCAAATCTTCATCTCTGTTGGCGTTGTTGTTGCAGATGTTGCAGATGTTGCGTTGTTGCTGTTGTCATGTTTGGTCTTAAAGTTTCCCCTCATGAGTTGCATATTCGATTACGAACCGACACAATTCCAACGCGGCCCTCCTCATTGAGGGTTTGTTTAACCAATTTGCGTAGGTGGACATTCGCTTGTTGCCATACGTGATTGCGGGTTGTTGCCGTTGATTATTGCCTCTCGCGGCACGCATATAAATCTCAGTGTTTAAATCTCGAGTTAAACTTGTAAATTAAAACCTTAATGAGTCTGTGGAATGGGTCGGAGGTGGACCCCTTAGCTAGTACCACGCTGTGCAAACATGGCCAGAACCCGTCGAGTGGCGGGGGTGTGATTTATGCTGTTCCCGACCACTTACACTCCACACACACCTGGGCAAATCGGTTCCTCGAATAGTTTCTATTTATTTCGCGTGTTTATAGTTCTCCACAGGATGGCCAACAATTAGTTGGCCACAATCACATGCAAGCCGATGGCTTTCCGTTGATTTCCACGGCTAATTAATGCCCAGTGAATATTCTCACGCTTCGAAACAAAAGGAACGGGTAACTTGACAAAATAAAATCGAGAAAAATAATAATAAGAAGCCACAGAACATGTTCGCTCTCCTGTGGCTGCTGCTGCTGCTGCTGACCAACAAAGTGTAACAATCTCCGGCTTCCTCAATTTAATTTGCATATTTATGCCGGCCCACGAGTTGATTAATTTACAACAGGTAACTCAGGCGCTTGCATTGAGATGATTGCATAATTATTTAATGACACAGGTAAGCACCAGTAAAATAACAAAATACACAAATAATTATGTGTAATATAAATAGTAATCTGATTTAACGATGCCTAATAAAATGTGGTTCATGTAAAAGGTATTAACATCGATATTTTTAGGTAAATAATATTTATAAACTAACTAACTAATAAACTGAATAACATTTTCTGCCATATACTATATATTCCTTTAATGTTTCCTTTTAATAAATACTTCTGTTAGTTCTTCTATTTAGTATAAATTTTCAATTTAGTTATGCAGTGGATTTATAAATTTAATTGATAAATACCAGGAAATTATTATATCATCGCATTTTACCTTATGTCGTATCTTTTTTATCTGCAACTCCTTGTGGTTCCACAGGTGGCACTTCACTTTCAAAGGTCACAGGCATAAATCAATTAATTCTCGTTAATTTCTGGCGACCAATTTGAAACCACAAATGTTGCTTTTTCCGCACACTTGTTTCGCAATGGCTTAAACTAGGCACAAGCACACATTTTATTTTATTTACTTTTTGTTGTAAACTGTTACGAAATAGGCTGCAACATAAATCCGCCTGGCAACCTGTCTCTCTGTGCGACTTTACACCGAAACGCAAACACAACGCGATGGCAACATGCGACACGACGACTGTTGCTGCTGCTGCTGCTGGATGTTGCCGCGAATGTTGCTGCTGCTGCTGGTGCTGCTGCTGCTCCGACGACGACGTTCGCTTCCGCTGACTTGACGCAAACGACTAAAAAAGGCCACATAAATTTCGATGCACATTCAATAGGCCAGGCAGCAGCAGCAACAGCAGGAGTCGTACATATACAGTTGCGGTCAAGATATTAGCAATTATAAAAAAGTTCTAATTCAATATCATTGTTAAAGGAGAGAAATTATATGGGAAATATGAAATGATTTGATTTTTATACACTCGACTTGGAAATTGATCATAACTCAGCTAAAAAGGCACTAAATTCAATTCGGAAAACTTTTCTGTGCCCTCAAAAAGCCCTAAAATATTTGCATAATTTATGTATATATTTATAGATTTTTATTTCGAAAAATTAAAAGTTTCTTATGTGCCAAAAAATCTCAAATACGAAATCAACAATTATTAAGAACCATAATTAAGCCAAAAAACATATTTCAATTCTGAAAGCTCTTACTATTTTCACCGGCACTGTGCCTCAGCAACATCAACCGACACACACCAGCAACACACACACAACGTCAACGTCAACAGCAACACACACACTCCAGCGGCAGCAACAACCAGTTTCCTTCCATTCACATGGACATTGTTTGTGGAACGCATGTGGGAAGGCGGCACAATGCCTTCCACTTTCCAGCTTCCACAGCACATTGCGTTTACGACCTGCCAGCGGTTTGTTATCTTTTATGATAAGGCTAAGACCCGCTTTTTACGACCCGCGTAGGGGCTTCATAATTTTTAATGCTCACTTCTGACCAGAAATTGATAATTCCCACTACTTCTCGAAATGCTTATGCCTCGCCCCTACTAATTAATTGATGGCTCAATTAGGGTTAGTGGCTAACAGGCCAATCACAAGTTGATTTTAACGTTTTAACGTTTATAACAAGTGTTTGGCTAACGTCTTTTGGCAATTAAGATTCAAATGGGTTAGGATAAGAGAAGAGAAAGATTTTGCACTATGATAAAGTCAATTAATAGTTATTTTCCAGGGTAAACTTGAGAACTTGCAAATTAGCAACTGCAAGAAAGCACTACCAATAGTTTCCCTTTAAAGGTAATGAGTATATATCCTTTAATATCCTTTAAAGTACCCAACCAGTTGGTAATTTCCCCACAGTTACTGTTAACTAAAGTGGCAACTTTGTCTTCTACCACACCACCCCAAAAACCCATTGACGTGGCAAAAAATTAATTAAAAATGCATTAAAAATGTTTGCCTTGCTCATTTCCGACTTGGGGGGAACTCCTCCTGGCTGCTGGGGAAATGCCAATCGCAGCAAACACAGAGCCCAGTAAATACCGCGAATACGAACCGAACTGAGTACTGAGAACTGAGAAAATCCCGCGTCTCCACTTTGGCAAAAGTATTTACAAGCCTCAGTTCGCAGTCGCATCTTAAAATGTTTGGCATCTGCCAACACGCACCACTGAAGCAGGAGCAGGAGGAGCAGGAGGATGGGGAAAATAGAAATACTTTTCCGGGAGATGAGGAGAGTGAAGGAAAATGTTTGGATTTCCAACGGAGCTCATTGCTAGCGTGCGTCGCTGCATTTCAAAAATGATTTGCAATGCGTGGTGGGAGTGGGTGGAGATGGAAGGCGGGACGGAAAAGCCGGGGAAAGCGTTGGGCAGGAAGTGGCAGGCGGTTTCGGTTTTGTGGCTCCTACTAGCCGCGAGATGAACTCCAAGGGCCGGGCGAGCGGAACGATCCGGAGACCGCGGCAGACGGCGTGACTTGGATGAGTTATCGTCGCGACCACGCGTGATTCTTCCGTTTGAACACTAAATATTCGAATGCACTTGGGGAAAAGCCCCTAATTCAGACAACAAATAATACAAATTTGTAAAAAAATTTTATAAGAAAATGGTATGCAATATAATAGTAGTGAAATATGGCAAGAAAAAGCCAATGAAAACTCTTGTTCACTAATACCAAGTGTAGCAAATATGTTTCAATATTTAATTCTAATATTTACTTGGGATCTTGTTGCACCTAGTACCTGTTTTCTCACAGTGCTTGGCTGCGTCTATGTGCCGCCTGCTGTGTAAACAAAAGGCGTCCATAAAACTGCAACAGTTTTCATAATTTATGACAAGCGGAAAAAAGCGAGGTTGACTGATAAGCAACTGGACATGTTGGCACTTTAACGAGTCCAAACCAGCGGACTTTTCCGAAGAAGGGGGTTTTCTAAGTCGGCATAAAAAAATATATGAAAAAAAACTATGGCAACATCTTCAGCTCACGAGCAACAGCAGCCGAAGCCAAACACGAGCACGAGCACGAGCCGGAAACGGGCACGAACTTGGGTTCTAGTTGCTGTTGCTGCTGTTGCTGTTGCTGTTGCTGCTGCTGTTGCTGTTGCTGCTGATGTTGCTATTGTTGCTAGTGTTGCTGATTCTACAGATGCTGCTGCTGTTACTGCTGGGCGCCGCATCACTTGGCAGCGTGTTTTTTGTCGCCGCGTCGACGTCAGCAGCAATTCCTGCTGCTGGGCGACAACGACACCGGCAACATGTCGCTGGGCATAAGCCGCATTTCCAATCCGCGAACTTTGAGTGTGTTGCCAAGGTGGCACAAAAGATGGCAACGAGTGGGAGTGGGGGGGAGAAGGCGGATGAACCAGTTCTTAGACTGGAAATAAAGGTTTTACTTAAAGACCTACATTAGAGGTTCTTTACAACTAGTTCTGAGCTTAAAATAATCATTTTTGTTTAGAAATAGAAATTTCTATTAAATTTCCACGAATTTTAGTTAGTATGTTGAATTTGCAACATCATTTTCTTAAAACCCTCTCATTAATTAATATTTTCTCATTTATTTTTTAAATGTTACTAGGCCTCATTTGAATTCTTACCCAAATTTTGGCTTTCAACAATTGATAATTACCCCCCCCCCAAAAAAAACATAAGATGCTAATGATTCTCTTGCTAATGAGGTAGCTTCCCGGCCCACAGACTTCCAATTCCCTTTCCAATGCCCCCCTGGAACAACTGCAATTTGACGTGTGCTTAGACAAACTGAGATCTGCTGGCAACTGACAACTGATTTATGGTGTTCACTTCACGTTCGCGGTGTGACTCCAGTTTTGAGGTTTGGGGCCTCGGCAATTTGCATGTGTAATTGCCTCGATTTTGCCCCAGCTTCCATTTACATCTTGGCAACCAGCAAGTCCATCCCCGATATCACAGAGCTCATTCCCATTGCCACTCCAAGTCCCAGTCCCAGTCCAATTCCAGTTCCAATCGCACTGTCATTAGTTGGCGCTGCTTTTTGACAGCCGCAGAAAGTGGCCCTAGTGGCGGGAGGCGGATGCGGAGTGGCACTGTGTGCTCTTGCTGGTTCATTTATGACATTCGCTGGCTAATTGCTGGCACTGCCATTGCCACATTGAAACTGAATAACTGCAAATGCTTCATACGCCCCGTGGGCGTGGCTCGTGCACTTTAAAAACGCATTAAACAGCCAACAATAAAAGGGGGGGCAGTGGGGAGGGAGAACCGCCCAAAAGCGGCACTTGCAACATGCTTGGGGCGTGGCCATATTATGCATCTGGAGACGCAGTTGAAGGCCGGGACGAACGATTAATGAGGACATGGGGAAGCAGGGCTTGAAAAATGTGAAAATTCAATTAATTAGCAGAGGTAACATCATTTAAAAAATGCAGAAAATTATTGAAAAATCAAGGTAAATATGATATATAACGATATTGCAGAGAATTCATAGAGGTTTCAACTATGCTTTATTTTACCCCATTTTCTTGCTGTTTGGAATACCTTTCGTCATATATTTCATCCCAATATTATTCCCAGTGCACTTCCCAGTTATCTTCAATATAACACTTTTACCTGCTGCTTGTTGGCCAAGATAAGATCAAAGATCACTGAGCAAGTTCAACTCGCCGAGGGTTTCGTGTTGCCATTGTGTTGCTGCTGTGCTTTTTGTGTTGCTGCTGCTGCTAGTGGCACGCGCGTTGGTATTGCATCGCTGCTTTAAGTTGCCACTGTGCAGCATGGGCAGGTCAAAAGCGTGCACAGCTAAAAACGGTAGCCATGATAAATGTGGCCTCTATAGAATCCCTTCTCCTTCTCGCTTTTTTTCCCCTTTTGCACCCGAATTTGACAGTTTTACAAATGTTTTCATCTATTAAATTAAATGACAAAAAAATTCAATAAACAGTTTGGTTGGGGCTTGTGCAAGTTAATAGAGTTTAAGCAGCTGAACAAGGCAAAGTATCTCTTTAGTTAGAACGATGTGAGTAGCATATCCCCCTACGATTACTGGCAGAACAAACAACTCAAAATGGTGAGTAACCCTTTCTTAGCAAAGTATTTAATTTGATTTAATCCAAACTTTATTTCTCTATCTAAAGCTGCCCTGCCCATTGCTAATGTTGACAATTTAGCACAAAATTTGTATGCCATGTTATTAAGAATTTGCAACGCTTTCATGCAACATTTGCCGGGGCAATTAGTTGTGTTTATAATTGGGGACGTGATTGCTGTGGTGTCGTCTTGCTCGGGTTTTCCCCTTGCGGCAAAAAGTTCTTTTTATTTTTTTAGGGTTTTTGGGGGAAACGTGTTTGAACGCTATAAATCAATTTGGCACAGGGACGTCGAAGGATGCATGCAAAATTGAGTCAGAAACGAATGAAGAATGCCCTTAAACCCCTTGAATTTAAATTGTACATTTTAACAAGGTAAATTTTGTTTATTTAAGGTCTCAGACAGGAAGACTTTGGTAGAACTCTAATTAGTGTTTAGCAAACTTGAAAATTGTGATATTATATCATAAATATAAATGCTCTAAAGCCTTGCAACTATATTGCATATTTAAAACTTTATGTTTATTTGTCCTTCCAATTAAGTTGTTATACAATTTCAAAGCATCATCAGCAAAATGTTGCCCCATATTTCCGCAAAAACTTTTACTCTCTCGCTAAAGCCCAAATTGAAATCACATAAAAGAAGCAAGCAAAAAATATAAGCCAAAGCGAATTAAAATTTTATCGACAACAAAGTTGCGGTCCGAACGGCAATAAAAATTGTTACGCTGATGAACGACATGACACCAGCAGCAGCAGCATCAGCAGCAGCAACAACATCAGCAGCAGCAGCAGCATCATCAGAGCGGCAACTACGCCAAAAACATGCGGCAACAGCAACTGATCGACCGCAGAAACAAGCAACAGCAACAAGAACGGCAGCAACATTGGCACTCAGTGGAAGGCAGAGGCGGACTTAAGTGGAACTTTAGGGGATTAACAATAACAAAATAAAGTAAAGAATAATTAAATACTATCAAATGTGGCACAGAATCTGCTCCAGGGTTAAAATTAATTCGAGGAATGTACGTAAGAGCATTACTTCTTACAAGAATCGACTAGTTTTTAAAAGCTTTCTAATTTTTCTGTATTATTTTAAGACTTATAAAATGATATTAAAAATCTTCAAGTTCCAAATTGTTGAAATAATGTGTTTTCTGAAGCACAACATTTATCTCAGTACTATTTTTCTAATATCCTTCCAATATCCCCTTTTTAGTGACTCCCTCTCTGGTGAACTGCATCGCGAAATTCTTTCTTTTATTTTTATATTTTTTCGGTTGTTTTCAGAGCTCCGCTCTCGTACTTCAGTTTTTGTTGGTCTTCCTGCTAAACTCAAAATGAGAAATTGCTGCCGCTGGTGCAATTTTCATGGTTGACCTCATTTTGTGTTTGCCGCTGTTGACTTTGTGGAATATTTTGCGGCAGAGCATCATGTCTGGGCTGTCAGTCAGTCAGTCAGTCAGTCAGTTCCCTGTCCTTCTGGCCAAAGAGTGGGTTTCGAACTGGATGCGAACTCTTGTCAGCGCCTGTGACAATTTGTCGCTAAACAATTTTTGCGGATGGCCAAAAGTTGACGTGGTTGTTTATGTTCGGATGCTGCTGCTGCTGTTGCTGTTGCTGATGTTTTCGGGGCGAAAATTCAATAAATAACAATGTAATTATATGTATACAGGAGCAGGGCCAAGTGGCTAACTCGATTGCAGGATACAGGAGCCGGGACAGGAAATACTGTTAGCAACAAAAGGAGCTGGATCTGCATGTCTGTGCCCCGGGTCAAATTGCCGTTAATGTGCCGAGTCAATATTTGCCAACACTCCGACATCAAAGCGAAAAGCAAGAGGCAACAGGATGTATGAGTGTGTGTGTGGCATCCTTGCTCCTGCCACCTGTCCTGGGCCTACAACAGCCTCACAAAGTGCGTGCCGAGATATGTATTGCCCCATTTTAACACCTTTTTCACCGCCAAGACCCAACATGGCAGCCACATTCCCTCATCTCACTCTCTCCTCGTCATAAAAATCAGGTGCTGCATATTAGGGACAACCAGGTGGACACGGACACAAAGTACCCATGGAGCACGTCAATGGGAATTTGAAAATGGCACAATCTAGAGCGAAAGGAGACGGGGAAATGCCGTCTGTAGTGTCCTGTAAACGCTTTGTTTACAACGATATCCATGATTTCTCTTTGCACTGAGGGAAAAGGTAACGATTTGAGGGAAAATTCAAGCAATGAACAATTTATTTCAACAATCTAGTAAGCTATGATAATTTCATTAGTGAAAAAGTCATGCTCATCGTCTACGTACGGCTATATTTCGCAGTCGAACTGTTCCTTTCCCTGTGTTAACATCTAAAAAAGTGCCTAAAAAAAGTACGACGTGATTTGTGCTTCGCTTGCGTTTAATTTTTGTTATTAAATTGTTGTGCGACTTGTTTTGAAATCCTTTCAAACCTTTAATTCTCGTTTATATATTGATAACCAATCAACCTTGAAAAATGGCCCCCAACAAAACCAAGAGAGTAACGAATGGATTTATGACTTTCGTTCAAGAGTGGCGTCAGACAGACCCCGTGGGCCAGGGCATGTCCTTGGCACAGGCGGTTGAACGTTGCGGTGACGTCTGGAAGGTAAGCTCCCAAGGATATGCCAAAATCGCAGGACTTTAGGTATTGTCCCTGCAGGTAATGACCCCAGAGGAACGCAGTCCCTATGTCGAGAAGGCCATGACCATCAACCTAGAAACACGTAAAAAGCCCAGTCAAATAGTCCAAATGGATTTAGCTCTACGCGAGGCTGAGGAACGCCTCGAAGAGATGAAGCGAACCACTGAGAACATGGTGCTGGAGGCCGTGGAGGCGAATGGTAAGTGAGATATAGAAGTTTTCCGATTTTATACAAAATTCTTATCCTTCTTTCAGGCCTGGAAAATCGTCATTTCGTTTTTATATCGCATAATTTCTTTACAACGACTGTAAGCGGTGATTTGTATGTACCGGCCGAGTTCTCGGCCTGCAAGTTTTCCCTGAAGCAGGGCATTATGTCCTGGTACACCACCCTGATTAACCCGGGAAGCCTTGATCTCGGCCAGGCCAGAGATGCGCTACATCACTCGACCACAACGCACGGGCTCCCGTTGCCTCCGAATGCCTTGGGTGAACGTAATATGAATAAGCTTTATAAGAATATTCATGATTATCTAACGAGGTGCATAGGCTGCAAGCCACTTATCGTATTTACAAATTCCGAAGACATCGGAAGGGTGAAGGCATCGTTAGATGATTTACGAGTGAAAAGCTGTCATCGGGGTAAGGAAATTGTAGTACTCGGCATAGAGTACCTACTCTTCTGTTTGAAGAAACAGTTGCTCCTGATCGCCGGGCAGCCGATTGATGATATTCATGAATTGTGTACCGATTCCTACGTCAAAAAGGATGTTTATGAGTTTGAGTCCCACATCTCTTGCAAGGTGAGAAAAGATATTATGAAAATTATGATTAAAAAAAATGAAGCAAATCTCTTTGGATTTATTCTGGCAGTTTCACGAGGACGTCGATCGAACACAGTTCTGTAGTTTATCCCGGGTTCAGCGTTGGGGACTTATTACCATGCAAGTATGTGATGTTTTAAACATCCCCAAGAAGCCAGGCAAACATATTCCTGATCCTGACCCTGACCCCAAGAAAGTCCAGAAGAATACCTGTCTGGCTGGTTTTGGACGTGGACGTCCCAGAGCCCGGCTCTCTACATTGGGTGAAGCTAATCGTTGAAGAATTAGCTCCTGAAGAGATGACAGCGAAGAGGAAAGTCTTTCCACTACCTGAAACATAAAACTAAATATCAATATCAGCATCACATCATCACACGAATAAACAATATAAAAACATTTATTTTTTCTACATTCTTCGGGGAACTCCTATTTCTTCGAGTGTTTTGGGGGAAAGCAAAGACCAGGGCCAGAGTCATGCCCGTCATTCATCGACGGCTGTCCATGGCTTGGCCATAAGATAGATTTGACGACGTGTTTTCCCCTGGAACATTTCGCAGCATGCTTACTGATGCGATCTTTGTTTGTGTCTCGTGCTTTGCCTTCCATCCATCCATTTGTCCGTCCAGCGGCAATTGGAAGAGGAAAATAGCAGCAACATTTCCCCCCCTTCCCCCCAGTTGCCTAGTTTTGGATTTTCCCTCGCAAAATGCTTGGAAAATGTGCACAATTTTCACATCCGGTGTCACATTCGATTCAATTGAGATTTACCTGAACGTGACTAAAATACGCAAATTAAAAACGCTCCACGTTCCTGTGTCCCCTTTTGCCGTATCCTTTAGCAAGGATCTGAGTGTGTGTGTGTGTGTGTGTGGGAAGGTTACCATGTTAACAACATTTACCCAGCTCTATAGCCGAGATTTTTTTATTGGGGCTTCCCCTTTTTCCCCTTTTTGGGGGGTTAGTGGAAGGAAATCTTGTGTGAATTTTTTCGGGGCGTCTGCTGCTGCTGGCTGGTTGTTATCATTTGAATAAATTGCCGCTAGACGGAGCGAATGATTGGATAATGCTGATCCGTTTAGGCAATGAATTAACCAAATGCCAGCTTATTTCATATCCCACTGGATGTGTGGACTGATTATCTCCTCAATGTGCTGCGAACTTAATTAAACAACTAATTGCAATTTTAGCGCGGCGCAGAATGCAATTAACTATCATTGATTGGCTGGCCAACCGCCAAAAAATAGACAGCAAATAATGCGAATAATTTAAACAATTTCCACAAGGCGAAATGATGTGAAAAGTCAATGCCGGAGGGCAATGCATGAATCGATTAATGCCAAAGTGTTGTGCAAATAAAATCATTCAAACAAAATACGCAGCCAACGAAACCTAGTCAACTATGTTTATATTTATTTGTTTCCCAATATTTGGCTGGCATTTTAAAGTCACAATTTAAGCGCAGTATGGTTTTTCGGTGAGCTTTTGCAGCGGTTTTTGGGGAAACACGCGTGAGTGGCCTTTGTTTTGGGTTCGTTGGGGAATTAGCAACGCATCGCCAGCTGAATAATCGCATTAAAAAGGGAGGAAAAAATATTGAAAACAAGAAAGAAAGCTAACTTCGGCACGCCGACGTTTATATACCCTTGCAGATAGAACTTCGATGACTAGGAATCCATACAATAAAAATTACATATATTTATGTTAAAAAACAAAAAAGTAATACCTGCTTTCATTTCATTCACCTATACATATTATATTTGCAGTATATTACACAAAATTTAAGACTGATATAAAATGGCTATATCTCAAATTTAGTGAAAATCAGCTGTAAATTGAAAACGTTATTTCTGAAACGTTCATTTCTTGACTGTTCCTATGGCAGTTAAATAATATATATAATATGAATCGGCTATATCTCAAATTTGATAAAAATCTGTTGAAAACTGGAAAAGTTATAATTTTTAATTGTATTAATTTCTCGATCGTTCCTATGGGAGCTATATGATATAGTAGTCCGATTTTCATAAAATTTTACACAAAATCGATTGCAGAGGAAAATATAATTTGTATCAGTGAAGGAGCCATTTCCGACCCTATAATTCATATAAATTCTTGATCAGCATTAAGTAATGGGGTCCATGGCAAAAAGGAAATTAATGAAAAAATAAATTCATAGCTAGCACAACTTATTCTAGACCTAGGCCTGATCACTAATATAGCTTCTCTTAATGTTTAAAATATAATAATGATATATTTGTCAAAATAAAGACTTACCCCAGTAGAGGACACGTCATCTTTCGTCATTGCTTAATTCCTTCCGATGTAGTTATATTCCTGGTTCATCTTACGATATGGATTCATCGAAGTGTTCTTCTTTCACTATCACTTTAGATGTAATTCCTTCTAGTATCGACCTATAATCGTGGTGACTTCAATTAGAATTATCATGGCATCGAAGATCTCTTCCTGTTTATCTGGATGTGTTCCATTGGCCACGTCATATATTTCAGGTCGAAGGGTAATCACTATCACTATCACTAAAGATGTTAACACTAGGTACCCCTAGGACAGACTGAGGTCGCGGCGATCAAAGAACCTCTATTTATACTTCCCGATCAATAATAACAGAGAAAGAGAGCGAGAGGGAAAGAGCTACCTCTGTAGCTGCAACAGAGAGAGAGAGAGAGAGAGAGAGAGCGTAAGCGCCTTCTCTAGAGCTGCAACAGAGGGAGGCAACAGAGCTGCAACAGAGGGAGGCAGACATACCAAATGTTATTGTGAGTAAGAAAGAGAGCGAAAGGCAGAGGCTTACAGAGGCATACAGAAAGAGAGGGCGAGAGTAAGCTATTCACTGGCATTACAATATTATAATTATTATATTATTATACCCTTGCAGGGTATTATAATTTCAGTCAGAAGTTTGCAACGCAGTGAAGGAGGCACCTCCGACTATATAAAGTATATATATTCTTGATCAGGATCAACAGCCGAGTCGATCTAGCCATGTCCGTCTGTCCGTCTGTCCGTCTGTCCGTCTGTCCGTCTGTCCGTTTCTACGCAAACTAGTCTCTCAGTTTTGAAGCTATCTGAATGAAACTTTGTAGTTAGCCTTCTATATACTCTCACTCGTATATATGTCGGAACGGGCCGGATCGGACGACTATATCATATAGCTGTCATAGGAATGATCGGAAAAAAATATATATAATTTATATTGTATGGATTCCTATTCATAGAAGTTCTATCTGCAAGGGTATATAAACTTCGGCGTGCTGAAGTTAGCTTCCTTTCTTGTTTTATATAATTTTAATATATTAATAAGAAAGGAAGGTAACTTCGACACGCCGAAGTTTATATACCCTTGCAGATAGAACTTCTATGACTTGGAATCCCAACAATATAAATTATATTTATTTATGTTAAAAAACAATGAAGTAATACCTGCTTTCATTTCATTCACCTTTACATATTATATTTGCAGTTTTACAGTCACAGATGTGCATTTTTCTCCACATCTAACGATCGTTTTTATGGCACCTATATGATATAGTCGTCCGATTTTCATAAAATTTTACACAAAATTTAAGACTGATATAAAATGGCAATACCTTGATGAAAATCTGTTAAAAACTGAAAATATTATAATTTTTAATTGTCTTAATTTCTCGATCGTTCCTATGGGAGCTATATGATATAGTTGTCCGATTTTCATACAAAATTGTAGAATATAGTAAAATGGCTATATCTCAAATTTGATCAAATTCTGTTGAAAACTGAAATTGTTATAGTTTTTTTGTAAAAATTATCCGATCATTCCTATGGCGGCTATATGATATAGTCGTCCGATCCGGCCCGTTCCGACATATATACGAGTGAGAGTATATAGAAGGCTAACTGCAAAGTTTCATTCAGATAGCTTCAAAACTGAGAGACTAGTTTGCGTAGAAACGGACAGCCGGACAGACGGACAGAAGGACAGACGGACAGACGGACATGGCTAGATCGACTCGGCTGTTGATCCTGATCAAGAATATATATCATTTATATAGTCGGAGGTGCCTCCTTCAGTGCGTTGCAAACTTCTGACTGAACTTATAATACCCTGCAAGGGTATAAAAATATCCAGACAATCAATCATATACACAGATTTTTTCAACGTCAAAAGCATTGCATGATTTTTTATAATAAGAAAATATAACTATTAGAAACTCAATGGTTTGTTTTGAGCTGTATTTTAAGCTAAACTCTCGCACACTTTGATATTTAGTAAAACCCATTTAAAGAGCTTAAAAATCACTAAATTATGGTTTAACTCCTCCATTCGCGGCTGAGACTCTGCCGTTTTATGGCGCCAACTTCAAAGTGACAATAATTTGGCCATTAAGCCGCGAACTGAGACAAGACATCACCCTCTCGGCCCCTAGAACCCGAAGTCTGCTCATTAAATTGGCTTGTCATTTAATTGTTCTTCTTCTGGCTTTCATGGCCACGCATCAAAGGAGTTGGCCCTCTGCCTTCCTTCTTCATTTTTTCCTTGCAGTTTTTGGTGCATTGCCAATTGTCATAATGGCCGAGACGGCGCTGGCCAAGCTGGCAATTATGAGTTAAGAGTTAAGAGGAATCACTCCGCCAGACCAGACCAGGCCAGGCTGGGCCCATTAAAAAAAGAAATGAGCAGCCCGGAGACGCACACAAAGTTTCTGCCGAGAATGGGGGCCATAAAATTAGTCGTGGCCAGGAAAGTGCATTTGCTTGTGGCCAACAGAAGTGGGGATGGGGATGGAGATGGGCTGCAATGGGGGCGAGTGGAGCACAGTGGAATTTTCATATTCATTTGCATTGATATTTACCTATAATTTTATTTGATATTTTTCTAACTAATTGAAGTTTGAGAAACTCATAACTTGGCCAAAAATTGATTCATTTCGATTCGGAAAGCGTTGCGATGCTAATTTTTATCAGGGTAACAAGTCTGCATACTCAGTTTAAAATGTAAAATTTGTGCGATTTTTGAAAATTTTAATGATAACCCCTTTTAAAATTTTGCAAAAATTGGCTAAAATGGTCAAAATTTTTGTTCTCATGTTTTTGCTTCTAATTAACTGGGATTTTAATGGGGATTCAGAATATATATGACTTTCTGCAATCCTCAACGTTTTGGGCATTTTATGCTGCCAGGAACACACACGAATTTGCAATTTTTCATTGATATTTATCTATAATTTTATTTGATATTTTTTTAACCACTGATGTTTAAAAAACTCATAACTTGGCTAAAAATTGATTCATTTCAATTTGGAAAGCGCTGCAATGCTAGTTTTTACCAGGGTAACAAATCTGCATACTTAGTTTAACACGTACAATTTTT